GCTAATTAGAAAATGGAGAAATTCTACTATAATTGATATCTAATGTAAATCAAACAATAATAAATGAGACAAAAATAAAAATAAAATAATTGAATATATAAATTCTACGTATATTTTTTCTCTTGCAAAATGAGTTCTTCAATTTCTTCTCTCGTACTTTTATGCTAAGGGAAATGCATTTGTATGTCTATATTTATTAATGATAACTATATGGTTTTCGGGGTTAAATTTTAATCAATTAGTTATTGATCTAAGTATTTGTTGATAATAAATCAACAATTTAAGAAAGGACAGTTATCCATTTGGGTACTTTTGGGCTAGTTAGAAAGACGGGAAACAAAGGACTTTGAGGGGACAAAATCTAATTTTGATAGGTTTAAGGATTTTTTGTTTTAAATCCTGAGTTTTTTGTTAAGGAGTCACCTGCTTTATTTTAGCAAGAATATAAGAGAGTTGATTTATATCCTGTTAGCATTATAAATACTTTTATATACAGGTTTTGCACCCTCTTGGTGCTTTTAAATATATATATATATATATATTTAAAAAAAAAAGAAGTCTTCTTTTCTACAGGCAATAGAGAAAATGCAACGAAACTGACAATGAAAAGCCCCACCCTTGTACTAGTAGTCATGCCAGAAACTCACCCTGTTACCATGATGGATCCTCATTTCGCTACACTTGGAGAAGACTTCCTGCCCAGAGAATTTTTTTCTACAAACCCATGCTATGAGAGGCTCTAGATTGTCTGACCATCCAACCCTAGTCGACAGAATTTGGCCCTAATCACTTCCATCTAGAGGTTACCTTCCCAAGTCATAAATCTCAATAGCCACCTTTCTTGAAGCACTTGATTGATAGGAATGAGGTATCTACCCAAACCCCCTTTAAGGATGGAAGTCTTAACCGTGTCCTTAGTAACCAGATGAAATCTCCTCTGCCTCTTCACCACAGAAACTGACATTGAAGGACCTATGGATTTGTTGCAAACTTTGAGAAGAAAGATAGATAATAAGTTGACAAATTGAACAGGGTGTTTTTAATAAGATTGTGTGTGCTACCTGTAGAGAAGAATCTATGCTTCCAACCAACAAACCTTTTCTTGAATCCAAGCACCACAGGCTCCCACACTGTAGAAAATTTTGAACTTCGCCCTGAGAGGAACTATAAAAAATTATTAGTTATGCGCCGGTAAAAGGCGCCAACTCCAGTTATAAATAATAAAAAACTGTATAAATACAGCCCAGCAAACTAATCCTAAATTCATCTCCTAGCATAAATCAAAACCATATATTCCAATTTTTTTGGACCACTTAAATAATGTTAGCAAATGCAAATGATACTGTGTTTGGTCTCCATACAAGATTATAAATTGGGGTTTGATGCATGATTAATCTCATTAATGCTTTAACAGGTTGCACTTCAGCAGCCACCTCAGTATGCATGTGGATCCCTGTTCCTTCTATCCGAAGTTCTTAAGGCAAGACCACCTTTATGGTGAGGCTTCTAAATCTTATTAGCTATATTATCTTAACTCATATACATAAGTTAATCAACTTACTCTCCTCCTCGAGCAGGAATATGGTGCTCCAAAATGAGTCTGTTGATGAAGATTTTGAACATTTTGAAGATGTTAGAGAAGAAAATGATGCCGAAACTGACACAGCTGCAAATAAAGAGGATGCTCGTGTTGAACATGCTAATGGCAGTGAAGTTGCCAACTCTGACAATGATTCGTCGGAAGAACAAGATCACTTGCCTGCCTCTGATTCTGACGATGAAGATACTTCAGTTGAGGCAAGGGAGCTGCTTATGGAAGACAACTCAAATTATTTTTACAGACAGAAAGAAATATCTACTCAAAACTTGCAGAGACCACAGATGTTTTCCACAAAGACTGTCCTTCCTGGAGGTTATGATCCGCGACACAGAGAACCTTCTTACTGGTAATCTTCCTCTTTCTTCCTCTCTGAGCCTGTGTTCATGGAGGGGTGATGGTAAAAACTTTTAGACTACAAATTTTCCAACTCCTAGCTGATAGAGGTCACTATGAATTGTTTTTAGTCACAGGTCTTGGTTTTTTGTCCTCTTTTTGAAGTGTGCTTGATTTATTTCATTGTTCTTCTATTCCAATGGATGAACAGCAATGCAGATCGTGCATGCTGGTGGGAGTTGACAGTACTTGCTTCACATGTACACCCATCGGTTGCTACTATGGCTGGGACCCTTCTTTCCGGGACCAATATTGTTTACAATGGCAACCCATTACATGATCTGTCACTAACTGCTTTTCTAGACAAGTTCATGGAAAAGAAACCTAAGACGAGTGCTTGGCATGGTGGTTCTCAAATTGAACCCGCCAAGAAGGTGAGTTTGTACCTGTAAAGTGGCTTCTAATATTGCTTCTTATATACAGCTTATCGTTTTTTTTTTTTTTTGGGTGGTTGAAACATCTGAAGAACAATCTCTTTCATTTTGTTTCTGACTTTTCCGCACAGCTCAACATGACCAACCATTTAATTGGGCCAGAAATTCTGTCATTGGCCGAAGTGGATGTGCCCCCAGAAGATCTTGTTTTCCATAAATTTTATTTGAACAAAATGAATTCTTCAAAGAAATCGAAGAAGAAGAAAAAGAAGAAATTGTCAGAAGAGGTGGATGCTGAAGAACTGTACAATGTGGATGGTGATAATGTAAATGACAGCGACAATGATGATATAGATGGTGGTGATGAGAGTGACAATGAAGAGATTGAAAATATGTTAGATGCTGCGAATCCTTCGCTAGAGGAAGATAGTGACTATGATTATGACAATCTGGATGCAGTTGCCCAGGAAGACGATGATGATTTGGTTGGTGATTTGAGTGATGCAGAGATGGACTTCAGTACTGCTGATGAAGAAGATTTTGGCACTGAGGTTGATGATAATAACAGTGAAGATGGCGCCGATGCTGATGATATTGACATTGGAGATGTCGATGATGAGGGTTTCAAAAAGAGAAAAAGAAAAGGGAAAAAAACGGGAGCATCCCCCTTTGCAAGTTTTGAAGATTACAAGCATTTGATAGATGATGATAATCCAATCGGGTCATCATCCAAGAGAAAGAATACAAAGAGAAGGCCAAAGCATACAAAGAAAAGGAGGTTATCCAACTGAGTTTACTTCTCTTCTTCGCTTCAAATTTTGTTAACATCATCAATCTGCCCGTTAATGTAGTAAGAACTTGATACGGTTCAATTTTGCAGAAAGGTTGAGCACATGTATCAGAGAATTTATATATTGTATTTTCAGCTAAAATATTGAATATGGTTACATCAACAGAGCTTTTTTTCATGGTTATTCAGAAATTATCTATTATAAATTTTTAAATACATTAAAATTAAACTTAATATTAGTCAAACTAAACCTAATTCATTTAATTTCATTAAATTCAACATTATAAATTAATTCCTCTTAACTTATAATTTATTTACAAAATGACAGACTAACTAAAAATCTTCAAACTTGTTAACTTGAAAATTCTGAGTTAGAACCATGCAATAATTACGTTGAACTTGAAAGTTCTGAGTCATAAGAGAAACATAAATTATGAGTGGATTGAAGATGAAGATACATGAAAGTCTCCATTACGTTTTTCATTATGAAAACAGTCTTTCCAGTAACATCGGAGACAGAACATTGACCAAACATGGTGTCGACCCAAAAACTCATGACAAAAGTTTTTGAGTTCAAGAAACTACAATTTCCACAGTCTTAGGCTTGGGTGGTGGAGGATGCTTCTGGACAATCACAGCCAAAACACCATTATCACATTTAGCAGTGATTGCTGATGAATTGGCATTATCGGGTAACTTGAATTTCCTCATCATCTTCTGAGGCGTCCGCCTTTCCAGCCTGATATACTTGCAGCCCTCCTCTTCACCCTCCTCGCGCTTCCTCTTCCCTCCACTCTTGATCACCAGAATGTTCTCTCCCTCGACGGTAATCTGCACCAGACCACATAACCCCCCAAAGGTTATACAAAGAAGCTTCTTCAATTGCAATTTCAGAACGAGAAATCTAGAAATTGTGGTACCTGAAGATCAGATTTGGAAAGACCAGGAACATCAAGGTAGAAAATGTACTCCTTGGGGGTTTCTAAAATGTCAGCAGGAATACTCGTGCCAATTCTCTTGCTCTCGTTTGTCTCCTCAGAATGTGAATTGACCGTGAATTTCTCCAAGCTCTCAGGCCAATTGAACAAATGGTTCAGAGCTAAAGTACTCATTCTCGACCTCCCTGTCAGAAGGATCAACTCATAAGCAACTCACTTTAAAATCCTACTTTAAACCACTACGAGCAGAGCGTTTAATCCCCTGCCTGCTAGTTCCTCAGCGACAAAAAAAAAAAAGAGAAAACGGTGTCTTGAATATCCTAATAAGCGAAAAAAATTAAAGCTCGTTTGTTCTTCTTCTTGCTTCCCCATTTCCCAAATTCTTACCTGCAGCGAATTGAGTTTGTTTATTAAGCTCCCGAGAAAGTCGAGAGAAACTGGATCAAGACACAGAAAAAGCAAGGAAAAATCTCCCAAAGCGTTTCCGTTGAAAATTGCTTGTTTAGTTAGCTGGAAATTTGTTGGAAGCTGATGATGTGATATAAAAACAGAGCAATGGAAAGTTCGGGAAGTTGTGTAGGGAAAAATCGGGAAGAATCTCAAGACTGTCGGCCGATTCATCGATTATTGTGTGCCACGCGGCGCCGTTTTACACCCCCTACTTGACGAAGAAGAGAGTAGCCCAAAAAGAGAAACTCAATATTAGAGTAATAATTAATAATATTTTTTATAATAAAGTTTAAATTTTAATTTCTTAATCTGACCAAAACATAAGATTTTATGGTGAACGAACTTTCTTAATTAATATAACGTCAAAAAATACAACCTAATTTCTTTTAACGATATAAAAGAATTATAAGATTTGTAGGTCAAGTCCTAAAAGTCTAATTTCTTTTGGATCATCTACTACTTTTCTATCTTAAATAAATTGAAAGTTAGAATTTTGATTATTACCCAATGTAAGAAATACATACATACATATATATATATATATATTTGAAGGATTGAGAATATAGTTTTGTTATGGATAGATAGCCTATTTTTCACCCTGAAAAAGAGGTTTAATCCCATATGGGAAAACGGGTCAAATAAATTTACAAAGAGCAATAATTAGATTGAATTGAAGTTGTTTGGTCCTTATCAGCTATCCCAAGCTGCCCTGCATGCTTTCAATTAGGTGTCACATGAGTGGACCACAATTTTTTAAATCATACATAATTATTTAATTTCAAAAATATTCAATCTTCTAAATGAAGCCGATAAACCTAATCATAAAAATAATTACCAACATTGTTAAAATTTATTAAAAATATAAATTTCATTTTTTTTTTTTTTGAGAATACATTATAAATTAGCATTAGTCTACCTATAATATCTAATTTAATTAAATTAAATTTTTAATTTATTAATATATTAATAAAATTATAATAATTAAATTAAAAAAAATATATATATATAAATAAATTTATTATGTTTAATAATCATATATATACAATTAATTAATTAATAATTACTCCAGTACTAGAAAAATAAAAAAAAATTAAGTAAAAACATCTTCAACACAAAGTACAATTATCAAAACCTAAACGTCACACAAACGTCTTGGTCACTATCTACATTATAAATTTAACTTCCTCGCTTTCTCTTAATTGGCTTAATTATTAAAGTACTTTCTTTTTATATTTAAAAAGATTCAATTAGTTTTTTTAATTCGTCAGAAGTATTTTTTATTAATAAAATATTAATATTTATTAAAATAATTATTTAAATTTAATCACTATAATTTTATTAATAAAATTAAATTCCTCATTAAATATCTTTATTAACGATTAAGAAGAAGTTAAATTTTTAAAAATATACGGTGGTTAATTTATATATAATTTCTAGAGGGCTCCATGCATAACAGATGTAAAGAGACAAATTATTATAATTATGGGCAAAATTTTATTCGTTATGCGGGTGACATACATATACTATGATGATGATGATGATAATATATTATTAGGTCAGGACAAAAGTGGGTGAGCGCGTTTTGATGGAGACATATACACATATAGAGATAGAGACGGGCAGCCAGCTTGGTGCTGTTTGTTTTCTAGTCTTTCTTAGAGTCCCTCTGCAACACTAAACCCACTTGGTTCTCCTCACTGGAACCAGTGACACAACTCACCAACCAACACCATTTTTTGTTCCTCCTAATCACCACAACCATTAAACATCTGCTTACTATATATATATATATATATATATTTAATAAATTTATATATTCATTAATTAAATAAATACATATATATGTAATAATTAAATCATTTTTAAATAAATACATATATAAAAATACAGATTAACCTAAATTCATAATTTCTTACAAAAAAATAAGAATGAGTAGTAAATCCATCAATAGGACAAGTACGAGACTGCATACAAAATCATCATGTGCTTCTTTTAGGTGACAATCTCCAAACCAAAATCCAAATACAACACCAACCGTATTTATCAAATGGGTCTAACTTTATTTTTTCTTTTTTTTTTTTTTGGGTTAAAAAAAATATGTATGTATACGAATGTATATGTGTGTGTATATGTATATATATATATGAACGAAGCAAACATCATTTCTCATAATCAAACAAAGTAGCTACTGGTTTTGCACGCCAAAATTAAAATCTCTGTTTCTTAGCTGGTATTATATCAAACAGTGGGCCATTTACATATACTCTTTATCTTTTATATACAAATTCTCCTCTTCCATAGTTTTCAAATTCTCAAACCCTTTTTCCTCTAAAATTCTCTCTGTGTCAACCCAAAACTCTCTAAAATGGCGAAGGTTGGGAAGTTGACGAAGCTCAAGTCAGCCATAAAGAGATGGGCGTCGCTCACCAAGCACTTCCCCGCCGCTACCAAACCGGGAGGAGGAGGAGAAGGCGTCCAAGGAAGAAGAAGTCCATGCAGTGTACGTGGGGAAGTCGAGGAGGAGGTACTTGTTGGGATCCGACGTCGTTTCGCACCCAGTGTTTCAAGAGCTGGTTGAGAGGTCAACTGGGTTCGACGATGATGCCGGCGACCGGGAAATTGTTGTGGCCTGCGAGGTGGTGTTGTTTGAACACTTGCTGTGGATGCTGGAGAACGGTGGGGCAAACCAGTTAGGATCCATGGAGGAGCTTGTTCAGTTCTACACTTACTGATTAATCCATGCTTTGATTAATAAATTCAGATTAATTAGCTGTAATTACAGATCATCGTAATTAGGCGGCCCAACACAAACACACACACACATATATATATATATATATATATATAATATATATTTTGTATTTTTTTGTTAATTTTTGAGTAATATTTTCCCCTAAATTAAGGATGGAGATTATTGTTACTAATAGTTATCAGAAGCGCTTGATCATCATGATTACTGAAAATTTTCCATTTACAATTTCAGTAATGAAATAATCATATTATATATATATATATATATATATATATATGTCAATAACAACAAAATCAAAAAGACTATCCCAGTTGGGCTACTCTTACTCTGTTAACTACCATATACGTCTTCTTTTGATTATAAATTAATATCCTGTAGCAGTGATATTACTATTCAATCATGCTGCTTTGATTCTTAATTTGTAATTTTCTGATGTTTTAAGTCATTAATTTGAATTGTCCTCAAGTAAAGAAATTTATGTGTAATATAATATTTATTTTATTATTAACAAAAACTTAATGTAACACAATTATTATAATTACATTAAATTAAATTTTTAATGTTCATAAAATTTGAATTTGTGACTTATTTTTAAAGGTTATTAGTTGACACTTTGTAATTTAATTCTTTTTTTCTTTGATTTATTATTAAATGATAATATTATTCACTACTTAACTTAATTAATATATTATTCGTCTAATAATATTTAATTTAATAATGTAATTTATTAATATATTAATAATATTATAATAACTAAATTGAATAAGTTTTGTAAATATTATTATATTTTCTTAATAGAATTAGTCACAACAATCCAACATAATATTTATTTTATTAAAAAAAATCTCAATAACAAATTTTCCCTTTTTTTCAAAAAAAAAAAAAAAAAAAAAGCAACATAAATTAAACAGACATAATTAGATGCACATATATATATACACACACACACACACACACACAGAAGTTTATTGTCTTGGTCCCAATGGAAGAATCTCAGTTGGCCTCAGCCTCCTTCTAATCATCCAGTCTTGAAAATCCCTAGGTTCGCAAAGTATCCTCAAAACGCCGTCGTTGCAGAAACCATACTCTTCAGCCGATTTACACAGCAGGTCCAAGAAATCTGCATCGCTTAGCACAGTGGTATGAACAATGAAGTGGGTTAATCTGTCATCCTTAACCCCAACACAGATTGGAACATAACCTTTAGGCGTCGCTGATGAAAAGCTTCTTATTCTTTTTGCTCCTCCCCCTCCCAATATTAATGATTTGATTAGCTTGCTTCCTCTTAATCCCATTAATTAATCTTAATCAACTCCCTAATCAATGGACGTGTATATGTGTGTGTGTGTGTGTGTGTGTGTGTGTATATATATGTACTCGAGTGCCCATTTGATAATTTAACGATGTGATTAATGGGTTTTAATTAAAATGATTTTTCATGTTAATCAGACTTTAAATTTTGTCTTTGATTGACGCAATTTGCCGTGGCCAAAACTTTGATTTTACCTTATTAATCTTTTATTATTATTGTTATTATCTTTTCGTCATTATTATTATTATTGAATTATATTATATTATATTATATTATATATTTTTGGTTGATGTACAAGTTGTATGTACGAGATTGGACAATTTGTACGTAATGTCGACCCATTTAGCTGGAATTGACATATATACGTATATGTGTATATATCGGTGTCAATGTTACGAAGGATATTTCTTTAGCATAGTCTCCTTGAGTAGTAGGTACTACATTGTACGTCTCTGTTATTTATATATATATATATATATATATATATTTAGAATAAAGCCACTTTCATGTCAATTCTTACACATTAAAAACAGAATTGTTAAATTTAAAATTTTAGTTTAAAATAATTTTTAAGAAATCAAAACCAAATAGTCAATTGCCCACTCTTATAACACATGTCCAATATGAATTTAAAGTTTTTTTCGTATTTTATAAAGAACTTCAAAATAATTCTATTTTATTATAATTATATTTTATTTTTATTTATTTAATCTTACTAACAAAAAAAAATATCATTTTTAATTTATTTTTTTTATTTTTACACATAAAAAATTATAATATAATAATCTAAAAATTAAAATATAAAAAAAAAACAGAAATTTGCAAAGATTTTTAAATAATTTATACTCGATAATTAATTGGTACGTTGTTATATAACTCTATTATAGATTTCTATTCACATTCTCTATAAAACTCTTTTGTTTCTTTCTTTTATAAGTTTGAGTTATTAAAAAAACAAAAAACAAAAAAAGAAACTGATTTTATTGTGGGATAGTTTTGTGATGTTCAAATCAATTTATTATTTGTTTTTACATTTAACATCGAATAAATTTTATAAAATAATTGTGAATATTCACTTTGATATAATTTAATAGATGAATTTTTTTTTTCTTTCTATGCTCTTATAATTTGAAATTTTAATTTTAATTATAGAAAATATTTTTTAAAAAAAATAAAATAAAAAATAACAATATTTTTAAAAGGAAGAAGAAAAAAAAAAAAAAAGGAAATCCTCACTTCTTTTTTTCTTTTTGTAAATGTACTTATTATTGGGCTTTTTAATGGGTGTACAAAAACTTGGACTGTTAAATGGTTGACTTTAAGTGGCCCAATTGATTGCTCCGAAACGGCACCGTATTGACTCGCTGCAGAACTCTCTCCCTCATCTCCGCTGTTCTCCTGCCTCGACTTGATTCTCTCCAAGCTCCACTGGCGATTCTTCGCTCTATTTTGGGATGAATATGGTCAGACTTCTTTTCCTTCATTACTTTCCAAACTTATAAACTTTGAAATTTAGTTTTTTATTTTAGTTTGTGACGAGATACCGAGCATTTCATCTCAATCTATTTTTTTAATCGTCATCTGTGTAAATGATATTCTGAATCGAGATTTATTTATTTTTTAATGAGAATTTCATATAATTACTTGTATCTATGATCTGACGGACAGAAACAGAGAAACTTGGGGAGGAAGAGGCTAAATAGTACAGTAGTTCTTCCTAATTTCTCCGCCTTAGTCTCAGGAACAGATACAGCTATAGTGCTTACTGTTCTAGCTACTAGAATTTTGTCCTTTCTTACTTTTTAAACTGTTGTTTTAGCATATGACCCGTGCCTGTCAACTGTTTGCTAATTTGCCATTAGAAACTTAATCAACTCTTTCATTTGTTATTTTCATGTATCAAAATTTTTACCTTTTCGTTTTCCTATTTTTGTTGATAATTTCTTCCTGTGATCTTGTGGAAACTAATTTGTTTATGTCCTGTGATCTGTGGAAATCATAGCATCTATCGTTTCCTTCCTTATATGATTTCCAGATATGGCTCTTTTGCAGTCTTTTTCTGTTATATGCAAGAGGTAGCTATTATGCTTTATCATTTTAGAATATTCTTATTTCATCATTGAGTTTTGGAGATTCATTGTTATATGCACCAATCCTTTTCATTTTGTTGATGTATTCTCAGCTTTCTCATACAACTAATCAAGACACTGGGCTTGCATTCAATACCATGGAATTCTTATTTATTTTGATTTCAGACATAGATATGATGATTTTTGTGATTTTACTAGCCTTCGACCTTCGTAGCCCATTTAGTTAAAAGCAAGGGTGTTTCTGGGCCTTGGAGTCCTGATTTATAATGCTTCTGCTTTGCAATATAATACTGTGTTTGGCTACAGCGGGAAAAAGTGCAGCCGATGTTGCTACTTTTGCAGCTGGAAAGGTTGAACTTAGTGTCCTTTGACATTTGAGACTAGTGAGTCTGTCTTATGTCTTATCAGTCATCTTAAAGGAATATAAAGCTTTTATCTTACTAACCCCATGGATTTTATTATTGAATGCATATAAATGTAAGCATTTCTCTTTTATCTCACTCTGTTTAAAGGCTGCAAAATAATGCCAAGTTCTTCTTATATGATTTTGTTCAATACTAAACAAGTGCTGTTTCATTAGTTTCAGACATTTGTTCATGTCAGATTGTAGTTATGGAAATGATCTTGGATTTTCAAAAGTTGCAAAGTAAATACCAACAGGGGCTGCTAGAAAGCAAATTAATTTGGAAGAAAAAAAAAAATTCATCTTCTTTAATATGTTTATAACTAAGCTCTTAGAATTTTTGAAATTTTTATTTTGATGCAGTTTTTGTTGAAATATTTTGCAATATATGTTTAAAAGGTATTTCCTTTTACCAACTTCTATTTTGTATTCTTTTCTCTCCAGGGAGATTGATAAGATTTCTGTTAGAACTTTGAAGGATAAGGGGGAAATGTCACGATTTCGTGGACTGTGTCAAGCTTCTTTAAATGCAACAAAGAGAGGTGACTTCTGATCGCCATCTTTTCATAATATATAAAAGTTTATATTATCTACAACTCTCTGATATTTACTGGAGAGTTTATGCTACTTTGAGTTTTTTTTACTTTGGTACCTGATACATGAAAGAAAGGAATTTGATGCTATAGAATGGAATGTCATTGAGAATGTCCTATTGTTGTTTGTGTATTGATCATATTCATGAGGTTCACAGAAACACTCCAAGCAGAGAACAGATACCTAATAAGCAACTTGCAGAAACAATGCACATATTTCGTGTTACTTAAAGTTTATGAAGTGATTGTATTGGCATGGAAAGAGGACCGCTAGGTACTAGTATGCGAATTGGCCTTTGGAAACCTGACAAAATGAAATGTTAAAAATGAGGTATGCCCTTTACGAGGCGTACTGCAGGTGTAACTTTTATGATTTAGTCAAATGAAGTTCCACAATTAAGGTAAGCCTTTAAAAGGCATACTGTAGATTCAACTTCGTTTTTTTTCCTTTGTTCATTGTTTTGTAGGTTTTAAATGAAAACCAACTCTGGATCTGCTTGGTGTTTCAGGTGCTTTGTTTTGTGAGATGACAAAAGTGTTGTGAGAATTGATTTTTTGTAAAAGCAGTTTTAAGGTGAAAACAGTAAAATTTGCTGGAAAAGTACTTTAAATATGGTGTTTTTCGGTTGTGCCACATTGAGAAAAAAGATCATGAGGTGCTTTTTGTTTCTGTTGGTAATAAAAAGATATAGATGGTCTGCAATAGCAAACAGATGAAACAAACCCTTTGATCTTATGTGAAAATATATCCAAATGTAGCTCTTGCGTGGAATGTTGAAGATTTGATGCCTCCTACTGAGAAATGCATTTTCAAATTTAACTCAAAAGAAGAGCTTAAGAAGTGGCATCTCTATTCAGATTCCGAGTATGGAGGTACGTCTATAGTTCACTTAGCCACACCATCAAGGAAGCAATTAAGAAATCATCTACCGGTAAAGATATTTTGCACCTGGATGAAATGTGGGTTATTCTTAACTTTCTTTTCTCTTTTTCTGCATACATTTTCCATTATAGATCAATTTAAGCATGTGAATACAAATAAAGTCAACATTGTTGCCAAATCCTTAAGCCTGAAATAATAAAAAATTTCGGACAATTTTTTGCAGGTTTTAAATTTTTAATATTTGTACACCTCTTTACCATTTCAACAGCTTTTCTTCTGTTTCTTTGGTTTTTATTTGATGTATACTATCAGTGTGCTCTAGAAAGCTCTGCTAGATAGTAAAAAACTCAAGAGACTAACATGGTGGATGTTTTTAATTACTTTCAGGGTTGTCCTCAGCTTCTCTGGAAATACTGGATGCTGGAAATGGAGTAAATGGTACTGATTAATCTTAACACGCCAATCTATCAGAACAAACCTGTTATTTTTCATTATTCTGCAGTGTCCACAACTTCTTTTTTCTGACACATACTGTGTCTACAACTTTATTGCATGTATAAATATAGTAAATTTTTAGAACTCTTATCAGTAGTACAGGGAGGCTACCAGACTTGTTGATTAGTTAAGAAGACTAAAACATGGGTTTTAATTGATTTAGGCTCAGATGAATCTAAATTTGCATTACCTTGGGATTAAGATCCTGTTTTCATCTTATCTGAACATCTTGATATAGAATAGTCTTGACACCAAGCGTTCAGGCTGGAAAATATGACTTGCTGCTTTTCTGAGATCAGCTTCAAGACACTTCTAAATCATATTTAAAAGATGGAGCTTCATATTACAAAGATATCTTCATCCTTTTGAATTATTGTTTCTTATTTTCTGTTAGGGATTTTCTCTGGAAATCTTTCCCTGGATGTAACTGAGGGTTCAAAGTGGAACATTACTCGAAGTGGCTTCTGTGGAATGCGGTCAAAGAAGGTAAGTCTTCCAACATTCAGCACTGATGTACCGCAAATTAGGCTATCTGCCTATTTAGGAATTGAGGCACTGTTTTGAATCCTGAATAATATCAAAATCTAGATCTCACACCTTGGTTTCTTAAATTTCATAGCTAAAGTGTCCTTAAAGAGATTGCATTAGTATATACTGACTCAAATGCATTTCTAGTCTAAATAGGAGAGACTTGAAAGAAACTAAAGCATGAATAACTCCTTTTCACCAAATAAGATCCTAATGCAACCATTCTAATAAAACTAGAACAACTAAAACTAAACTCATGTCTACGTTCTATATTATAGCAAAAAACCAGAATATTACTAAATATCCCAGAAAATTACCTGTTTACCCCTGGACTAACATAAACACAGCACATTTATATGAGTAGTAGGGCCAATCAGGCTCCAGAGGGGTTATTCTCTTCATTTTCCATATGCCAACCCAAGGCTTGAGCATTAGAACCATGTTTGGCAGTTAGCACGCCTTTTAAACACCTTTAGATATTTGTTGTTGGTTGTCTCTAGCACTTTCTAATGACAAAGGCGTGAGCTGGCCGATTTTACATGATTATATACTCTATGAAAGAGATTAAGTAATAAGGTTGTTCCATGGATGATCTGTCGGTTATTGGGGGTTAAATGTGACATACGAGATTGTGACTTCGTTTTTTGTTCAAAAATGAAGATATTCATTGGCTAATCAAATGTTTGTTATTGGCTAATCATTCTTTTGCTATAATTTTGACAGCAATATCGGCATATATTAAAACTCAATATTTGTTTTCCCCGTATTGATTGTCATCCGTAATTATACTATGGTTAGACATCCAGTTCAGATCATCTTTTACATTGTTTTTCAGATTTTGGTTGAATAAGATCTATTATTTCAAGTTTTAGTTTAATATGCTTTAACAAATGTATGACTTCATGTTCTTTGTAGCTTATCTAAAAGCTCCTTTTTGTCATTTGTGTTTTGATAAATATCACATTCATGAATCATATTCCAAAGCAAAGCAAAGGGTTAAAGAAGGATGTTATTTTACTGATATCAGTCCCCAATCACCTTTGTACTTTTTCTCGGTACGCTTGAATTATTTAACTGACTTCTTGTCTGTAATGGAGTTTGATGGCTTTATCGATTTGGATGCATACAACACTATAGCTTTGAGGCTCAAAGGAGATGGAAGATGTTACATATCTACTGTGAGTCTCCTTCTCCCTCTCAACCCAATTAGAAAAGAAAGGACTTGTCCTAATGGTTCATTCTCTTTTCCCCCTGAATATCTTGATGGGGAAATTTCGAGTTTCTAGACTAATGGCAGAGCGTGCAGATTTATACAGAGAACTGGGTAAATTCACCAGGGCAACCTGAAGACAACTCATGGCAAGCTTTTGTTTTTGTTCCCAAGGACAACTGGTATATTGCGAAGGCAAGAGTTCCTTACCTTCAAAGTCAAAGAGATGTTATGTCATTGAACTGGCTATTATTATTGAGAGAAATGAAGCCCCTATAACACTATAACATCAATAAAGAAAGTCAAACGATTCCCCTTTTTTATAAATAGTTTAGCTTGAATTTTGTGGTGGATCCTGGAAGTTGAATGAATCATTTTATCTAATCTGAATTTACAAAACCACTTGAAAATAAAGTTGAGTTATTTGGTCTTTTCATAATGGAGTAGAAATTCTGATTAGCCAAAGTTTTTAACTTAATGAATATGTAATAGCTTGCTATGGGTTGAAATACCTTGTACTAGTCATTTTATCAAAGGTTCAGAGGATGATGATAAGAAGAAATTGAACAACTAATTTTGATTCTTTGTTTCTGAGTGATTATTGTGTGGTAATCTTTTTTTTTTCGTTGGTTTTTTCATGTTTTAATTTCTTTGTAATTTAAACATTATTTCAGATTCCTCTAGCTCGCTACCTGCCAACATGGAGAGGGAATGTCATAGATGCTAAGTTAGAGATGAATCCATCTCGAGTTCTAGGGATGTCTCTTTCGGTTAATGCAGAAGGTGGTATTCCAGGAGCTAAATCTGGAGCAGGTGATTTCAAAATTGAAATTGATTGGATCAAAGCTTTGAGAACACAATGAGTGATTATACAGACTTAGGAGATTGTGGATGGGTTTTATCAGAGCATTGAGTTTTGATCATTGTAAACAGTTTCTTTTAGTTATGAGGTAACCAATAAAAATATTTGTGTGATTTTACTTCTGGCATAAACACTGGTCAGAAAACATGTTTCTTACCCCACCAATTTTGTTGGATGTCCTATGAAAAGATATGATGCTCTTCCAGATAATTCTAATGTCAAATGCAATTTCAATTCATCCTTTAGTATGTCCACATGTGTAGGGAAGCACTTGAATAAATATATGAGGAGTGAAAGTTAAATAAAAATTTAGTCAAAATGAATATGATGAAATTTGTCCTAAGATATTCAAAAATAATAATACAAAGACACTAAAATTTTTAATGTGAAAAATTTCTTCAATGTGAATGATAAAAAGTATGAAACTTTTCTTGATTCAAGTAAAAAAAGTTCTACTGTAAAAATTAATGTTTACAACAATAATAAGCAATCACTATAATTTTCAAACAAATACTCAATAACAAATCAACTAAACAATAAGAGATAAACAAAGGAATAGAAAAATATCACTAAAGTATCTACTGTTCATACGAAATTGATGCGTTTTGATTGTTCAAATTCGATTTCCACCGTTCAAAGTAAAGAACAACTTATTCCGAATATGTTCACCAAATTTCAGTCTCATCAGACCACAAATGACCGTCCGATCGTCGAAGAAAGTCAAACTTATCGGTGCATGAAAGAAAAACGTGAACAGTAATTTCGAACTGAAAGTACCAAAAATCTAATGTCCAAAATCAATCTCCACTGTTCAGAATGAAGAACAATGAATTTTCTAAATACCCACCAATTTCATCCTGATCTGAATAAAGATCACCGTCAGATCGTTGAAAAAAGAAAAATATGTTGGATGTAATTTTTCTAGTAAAAAATTTTCTTTTTTTATTCTATCTTTTGATGACTGAAAACTTGTTTTTATATTATTCTTTAGAATTAAAGTGGTATACCAAAAAAAAAAACCTTAGTGACCCTAATGGGCCAAAAATAAGTTGCCTCAAAAATGATTTGAGTTTTTCCACATAGTAGGGAACCCAAAACTCAACAATTCTTCCCCTCACGACTATGTGGAGGAGTTCGCCAAGCCAACAACCACACGACATGCTTCAAATTTCACTCTTCGTAAAGCCTCCGTGCTCATATCAGAACCGTTATCTTGTATCTTCTTAAGTTCAAGCTGCTTAGAATCCAAAACATCACAAATCCAATAATACCTCACATCAAAATGTTTAGATCTACCATGAAAAATAGGATTCTTAGCAAGATGAATTGTACTCTAACTGTCATAAAATAAGACATATCTCTTTTATGTAAACTCCAGCTCATTCACAAACTTCTTCATCCAGAGCAATTCTTTACATGCTTCAATCACTGCAATGAACTCAGCTTCTGTAGTAGACAATGTAATGCATTTCTGCAACCTAGATTGTCATGGCACAACTCCCCCTGCAAAAGTAATCAGATGCGCAGAAGTAAACTTTTTTGAGTTTGTATCATCTGCCAAATCGGAATCTGTAAAACCACTGAGAATAACTTCTCAATCTCAAAACACAACTTTAAACTAGTAGTACCACGAATATGACTCAAAATCCACTTCATGGCATTCCAATGCTCTTTTCCAAGATTAGATAGAAATCTACTAATAGTACCAACTGCATGAGGTATATCTGGTATAGTACAAAGCATAACATACATCAAACTACCTACTGTAGATGCATAAGAATTTTATACATGCATTCTTTCTCTTGCTCACTAGAATGAGACTATTGACATTCAATCTAAAAGATATAACAAGAGTTGTACTTATAGGTTTAGCTCTGGCCATATTAAATCATTGCAGTACTTTCTCAATGTATTTTTTTAAGATAGCCACAACTTCTTGCATCTTCTATTGCGAGTGATTCTCATGCTAAGAATGTGCTTTACTGGCCCTAAATCTTTTATTGCAAAAAATTTGCTCAACTCTTTCTTCAAGCTATCAATTTTAAAAGAATTAGAACCCACAATAAGCATACTATCAACATATAATAACAAGATAATAAAATCACTATTAGAAAATTTATGTATAAAAATACAATAATCAGAAGTAGTCTTCTTTTAACCTTCTTGAACCATAACTAACTCAAACTTTTTATACCATGTCATAGGTGCTTGTTTCAACCTATATAAACTCGTTCTTAATTTGCAGACATAATTTTCTTTTCCTTTCACTACAAAACTTCATATTGTTTCATGTAGATTTTCTCCTCTAAGTCACCATGAAGGAAGGTTGTTTTAACATTCATTTGTTCAACCGCTAAATCAAGACTAGCAGCTAACCCAAAAATAACATGAATTAATGACATCTTGACCATTGGTGAGAAAATCTTCTCAAAATCAACTCATCTTTTCTGATCAAAACCCTTGACAACTAATCTGCCTTTGTATCATGGAGATTTAATATTCTCTTCTTGCTTCACTTTAAATACTCATCTATTTTTCAAGATTTTTCTATCTTTAGAAAGCTTTACCAATTCAAATGTATGATTATCAGCTAAAAACTGCATTTCATCTTTCATAGCTGCAATCTATTCTATCTTTTGCTCATTCTCAATTATCTTTTCATAACATTTAAGTTCTTCTTCATCTATCAAGAGTATGTACTCATTAGATGAATACCTAATAGAATGAGTTCGATCTCTACTAGACCTCCTAAATGGAACTTCAAGTTCCTCAACATATGTCTTTTATTGAACATCAACTGCTTCATATTTAGGAGCACTAATCTCATCTATATTATGATTGTCATTTTGCACATCATGATTCTGAACTTTAACTACATCAAATATATGAGTTGTAGGAGATGGTTCTAAGTCAATCAAACCACCAATCTGAGACTCAGACTTCTCCACCTTGTTAATATCTCCAATAGTTTGATCTTCTACAAAGATTACATCACGACTTCTGATAACTTTCTTTTGAACTGGATCATAGCATCTGTAACCAAACTTATCTTACCCATAGCCAACGAATATACACTGTCTAGTCTTGGCACCTAACTTAGATCTCTCATCTTTGGGAATATGCACAAAATATTTGCAATCAAATACTTGCATGTGTTAATAAAAAACATCTCTACCATACCAGAACCTATTAGGAATATCATTTTCCAATGCAATAGTGGGAGTTAGATTGATCACATGTGCGACAGTATATAAAGCTTCACCCCAAAAAGAGTTAGACAATTTAGCCTCTGAAAGTATGTATTTGACTCTCTCCAGTAATGTGTTATTCATCCTTTCTGCTAAACCATTCAATTGAGGAGTTTTAGGATGTGTCTTTTGATGTCTGATACCCTGTTCTCTGCAATATTCATCAAAAGGCCCACAATACTCACCACCATTATAAGTGGGAATGCATTTCAATTTCTTTCTAGTTTCTCTCTCAGAAGAAGCTTGAAATTCTTTAAATGCACCAAACATCTTATCTTTTGACTTTAAGGTACGAACCTAAAGTTTCATTAAATGATCATCAATAAAGGTCAAAAAGTAAAATGTACCACCAAATGACTTATCTTTCAAAGAACTACAAACATCTAAATGCACCAGCTTAAGTAAATCATCTTTCCTGGATGAAAAATGATATTTGAAAAAAATCCTCTTTTGTTTCCAAGCCAAACAATGAGCACACCTGTCTAATCTTGCACTTTTTAATCTTGAAAGTAAATTCTTTTTAGGTAGACAATCATGTCTCTTCTCACTAATATGACTCAATTTCTTGTGTCATAATTCTGAGGAGTTATCACCTTCAATTGCATTAACAAGATCTGTAGAGATTGAAGCTTGTAACCAATATAAGCCCGAAGTCTTCTTCCATCTACCTACAACTAAGGAATCTTTGCTGACTTTACATTGTCCATCATCAAAAGTGCTATAATAGCTATCATCATTAAGCTTACTGGTGGAGATCAAATGCAACCTAATATCTGGAGCATGTCTAACATTGAACTCTAACTTTGTTCTATTTTAGGTCTCTAAACAAATAGTTCTAATACCTATCACCTTTGACACTCCATCATTACCCATCTTCAAAACTCCAAAATCACCCAAAGTATAAGATGTGAAAAATTCCTTCCTTGATGTAACATGAAAGCATGCACCATTGTCAAGAACCTAAACAGTATCATCATAGGCTATATTGATCATATTCTCTTGATAAACTATAACCAAATTATCATCTGAAGTGGTAGTAGCAACACGATCAATATCGTTGTCATTTTCCTTCTTTTCTTGTTTCTTTTTTTTCTGCTTTGTTCTCTTTCTTCCACTTGTAATAATATTTCTTGATATGCCTTATTTTACCATAATGATGACATTCAAGGTTCTTATACCTTGATTTTGATTTACTCCTGATCTTGACCCTTACTTTTACTTCTTCCCTTATTTTTATTAACCAAGATTTCTGACTGTGAACTAGATGTCCCTTGAATTCTTCTTCTCATCTCTTCATTCAAAATGCCAATCTTTGCATACTGTATGGTTACAACACTATCAGGAGCAGAATTAGTTAAAGATACACGAAAGTTTTTCCATGAGTCAGAAAGTGTAGTCAACAACCAAAGTCCAATAACATTTTCATCAAATTTGACACCCATGTCAGACAATTGATCAAAGATATCTTAAAATTTATTCACACGATCAGGTATAGAATTACATTCTCTATATTGTAAGCATAGAGCTTGTTTAAGCAAGAATAACTTATTGTTTCCAGTCTTTGAAGCATATAAGGTTTCAAACTTTTCCCATAAAAGTTTGGCATTCGTTTCATTAGCAATATAATTCAATACATTATCTTTTATCCATTGTCGAATAAAACTACATAATTGTAAATTCTCAAATTTCCAGTTTTCATCAAACTTAGACTCAGATTTTTGAGAAGCAAACACAGGTAAACGCATTTTTTTCAGAACAAGAAGATCCTTCATTTTTCCTTTCCACTTATAATAATTTGTGTCATCCAAATAAATCATTTTACTCACATTCACCTCACACAAGCAAAAACAAATTCACAATCAACCAATGAATTAGTGAACTAAGCTCTGATATCACTTTAGAGAAGTACTTGAATGAATTTATGAGGAGTGAAAGCTAAGTAAAAATTCAGCTAAAATAAAT